TCCCTACAAAAGACTGCAGTATTAAGGACAAAACCACCAGAGATAATCCAACATTCCAGCCAAGATTCATCTTGTGAATACCTCCAGTTGCTCCAGTGAATTTATACCAGGAGTATACCTAAAGTTTGGACTTTATTCCAAGCAAACACTGATACAGAACAAGTTCCAAGATTAAACTATGGAAGCTACAGGTAGGTGTCTCTAAAAAACACCGTGGCTTTCACTCCACTATATTGAAGCACGGTCCCTTTCTGTAACACAGGAATAAGGCATATGCATAACATGAAGCCAGGCGGGACTACTCAGGAAGGGGCAGGCTGGTTATCATTCTGTCCCTACCATATGTTCTCTGTTTTACCATCAGTAAAAGCATGACTTTTTAAAAGGAGCTGTTCCAGTATATTTCATCTTCCCATTCCCCCGTTTTTGAGTTCCCCCACCATTTTAACTTTTCCGAGTCAAATGACAGAGTCTTCCGAGACTATGAAAGTCACAGTTTTTGTTTGCCTTGGTAGTAAGTAAACTTCTATTTATTTGTTTATTTAAATCAGCAGGGAATGTCTTAGTAAGTTCTCCTTGGCTGGCCAATAAGATTGCCAACTTGTCCCCTTTTCCCACAATACAGAGGGATGGAGAAGAAGAGTTTAGTCTAAGCACGGACTCAGGAGTTTCAGCTCGTCACCTGGCAGCTCTGCCTGTAGCTGCAAAAAAGACGATGGTTCCTCCAAGGAAAATAAACACACAAGGACCTTTTAGAATTAACACCAGCTAAAACAGACAAATATCAAGTGCTTCTGACCTCCAGGGCAGCTTTGAGTGAATGAAGAATGAGGAGCAACAACAAACATTTTAGTAAATAGTTGTGCATGATTAAAGGTGAAGCAGTAAATGCCCATCAGAATTTGATACCGAGTATACCAGCAGGAGAAACAAACTCTTGAAGATCTCTTTTAAAGCATTATTATGTAGCACTGCCTAATACAGCAGATGGGAGAGGTTCTTAGGTGGACAGTTATAGTGACTCTGGGGTATCCAGTGTGTCTGTTAACACATTTATTTCACACTTTGTCAGTTTGACTTCAATGGTTTCATTAATAACTTTTCTATCTTGGTATTGCCCCCATCCCAAAACTGGTGCTTGGGTGAGAAACGTCCTAGTGGGTTAGCAGGCAGTAGCTCCTGAATCGCAAGAATGTGAAGCTGTTATTCCCTTGTTTATGGATTTGAGTCGTATGTTAGGGGGTTAGTTTTGAAGAAGGTAAAAGGTAATTATTACCCTGCGTACAAGTAGCTTCAAGAAGAGAAGTTACTACAGGTAAATTTCTCCTCCCACTATAGTCAGAAGTCAAATTACCACGGATTTCACTGCCCCTAGTCGATCATACCTTACTAGGAGACTGGTTTGGCTAAAGTTCATATTCACCTGGATGATACCCTGTTTATGGCTCGAATTCAGGAAGGTACATATGCACAACCTGAGTTCATCGTCTTCCTGAAAAATCATAATCTAGGCTCACTGAAGTATGAGGTACAAAAAGTGTGCACAATATAATCTTAGACTTCATTAGCATGAGCAGTGTTAAATACTGCTATTTGTTTCTTATTGTATACATTTCTTTAGCTCAGGATTGTGACTATTAATGTGATTTTAACAAGCACATTGGTGCCAAAAATAAGCCAAAAGGAAAACAATATGCAATGCATACTTTAAAGAGGTGCTTTTATATCATAAATATGCCTGCCTGTCTTATATGTTGCCAGAATGTTTTAAAAATAAATAAATGTAAACATTAAATGATCCAATATTCAAATATGCTATGTACCCAGCTTTTCTCCATGTCACAACAGAAACTCAGGTGATAAATGCAGTTAACATTTACATCAACAGTTTCCTTTCTGCCTTTTATTAGTTTTTATACAGTAACTCATATCTCTTCACAGTTGCACGCCCTTCCCAGGGCAAACTAGAAAAATGATTACGTGTGGCTACACAACACTTCAGGTTATTCAGGAAACAAAACAGCTTATCACAAATAAAGCACAGATCTGTTACAGCCACAGTTAGGCCTTAGATTATAATATATTACTATAGTTACATTTCAAAGCAAGATTAAGCTCAACTATTTGGCTCATAATTCATCTGTAGAAAAGCACTGAGTTCACATATTACTACTGAGCTGCTTTTCAGGATGAAGGCTGAAAGCATCAACATGATTCCTGTGCATCACCTTGAGGAGTACAGTAAGAAAAATGTGGTAAGGGGCTACTAAATGTCAAGCTGTAGTATTTTTCCAAACATACCTGCTAACTGGATAATGCCATGTCTCGCAACATCATAGTAAGGGTGATTGATATTTAACTCAGGATCTTCAAGCGGTGGAGACATAAATGTTTCCTCCTGTTCTGACTGTGTATCTTCCGCTTCATCTTTCTGCAGTTCTAAAGGAGCAAGCAAGAATGCTTAAATGCTAATGAACAAAGAAAAACTTTTGCCTCTAATACATTATTGAAGGGTTGAATTTTAGCTCAGTTTGACAAAAACACAGGCCTTTATCACCATTTGCTGCAGTTTCAGATCAGTTTCTTGTTCTTTACCCTTTGTCATGTGTGGGAAAAGTCACCCTTTAATATCTCAGAGCTACCTTCACATCCTCATTAAGATTACTATCTGCTGTGATGCTCACAAAAATCTCAACAATGACTGCAAGCTGTGACCTTGCTATTCACGACTGCTGGTGTTGTCTCATCATTTCCTACACTCCCACAATCTGCTTGTTGTATCCATCTACAGCTTCTTGTCTTTTACTTCAAGGTTGTTCAAATGGAGAAATCAAAGTTTCAGTACGCTAAGGTATGCATGGACAGCTACTCCACATTAACACCCCATGTGACTGCTCTCTGAGAGCAGACTCCTCACTTTGCATAAAGGTAGCAAAGCACAAACAAATCTCCATCTCACCTCCCTCAAAATCCACTGTTTCCTTGAAATCCTTTAACCTTCTGAACTTGAGATAGGCAAGGCAGCCAAAATGTCCATCCAACATAGACTCCAGCTAGAGGCCAAGCAAAGGTGTAAGAAGTCTGCTCAAAAGCCCAGTAAAATCAATGGGCATCCTTCCCCCAACTTCAGTAGATTCTGGACTAGATCCTAGAATTAAAATCTACTCTGCACTGAAATGAGCAACACAAAGTTAATCGATCTTGCTCCAGGGTTTTTTGGGTATGTTGGGTTTTTGGTTCAAAAAGAGCTGATCCTAAGCACACATCCAACTGAACACAGATTCTGGGATAATTACTGTCACTAATGTTTCTACACTATTCAAATGAATGTTTTCTAGAAACTGACGGGAGTAACATTAAATTGACACACTAACTAACACAGAAGTGTCTTGGTGGCTTAGGAGAAGAAAAGGCACAAGTAAAGAGAAAAATTAATGTTCTGATAAGGTGCACCACCCCCTGTACATCATCCATCTCCTTTTATCACACAAGTTTTAATAAGGTAGAATTAACAGTTTTATCTATAACTTTATTAGTGCCACTTTAAAAAGTACTTCAAGAATATTTTGCCTTCTAATCACCTGCATATTTCATATGCCTTGACCACCACACAAGACACACTAGGGCAGAGAGAATATATTAAGTATTGATTTCAGCCAGATTTATGTGCCAGTAGCTAATAAGTGTTAGAGAAAAACTGTTACTAAATATTTTGGAATGCTTTCCACTCACAGTTTCTCAGTATCTTTCTATCCTATAAACAGCCACATGAAAGCTTTATTGTCTCATTTTTATTTTTAACATGATTTGTACCAAAAATGCGTTTCACAAGGATGAATAATGCCGCTAGTGGCTGGGCTTCTCAAAGACAAAGAGGAGTCAGAAACATGTGTACTAGTTTTACATTTCTTTATGTCTGAATTCACATTAAAGCCTCCTCAGAAAATAAATCAGCAGTCCTATAGGAAAAAAAAAAAAAATCTGCCTTTAGAAATTCACCATTAGAGTCCTCTTCATACACACAAAAAAGTTTAAATTCTTCTTATTATCTCCAAAATGTGTATTTTTCTACCCTTTAAAAGTGTATCATATATAAAAAGCTACACTAACCTTAACTGGAAAAGTATTCTTTCACTTTAAAGAATGTTTTTGTCCCAAGAGCTAGGAAGAATAATACAAACATAATGCAGTATACGAATTTCACATTTTTTTTCTTTTTAAAATATTTAAGTCATGTTAAGACTCAGAACAAGGAAAACACTATTTTGTTTATTAGGTTTTTTTTTCATGTCTGAGCACTGTAACCACCTAAAGTAACAAAAAGTTGCAAAGGGGAGAGAGAAAAAAAATAGAAAACGCTAGTCTGTGGGGATGTGAAGTGGTAGCTGTGAACTATTTACCATAATCCACAGAAACTTAACAGGGTTTACTAAAAGTGAAACGTATATTCTAGTTAAACACAACAGAAACAATTAATATGTTAACCACAGCCTTTGGTACAGAGAGGCAGACACTAACTCCTTCTGTAAAAAAATTATTTTGTACTATGCATAAAAACAGCCAGGTTTCCAAAAACCAGGGGTAAGGATTTGTAACAAAGTATAGATATCAAGCTATCTGGCTTTGAGATGTGCCAAAGGACTAGAGAATCAAAGTAAATACACACACCCATTTCTACTGCGTTCATTCACAGGGACTAAAGAAGCCCCAAGGCTAATCATATATACTGAAAAGCTAGTTAACCCTAACCTAATTCTTTGTATATTCTTTTTCTTGCCCTTTTTTTTGTTTTTTAATGTGTGAACAAGAGGACTGGAGCTCAAGAGATGTTTCGTAATAAACACAAATAAAAAAAGAAGATTCATTGTTCCAAACTGAGGGCGACCTCAGTTTCATTTTTCTCCTGCAAATGACAGAGGAGTTTATTGCCCTGCTCCATGAGCTATAGCAGAGGATCATCTGTTACTACTCACACTGTTATCACAGTTCAACCCAGGCTGGGAGACAACACGCGGGGCCTGATCCAGACCTTGCCAAGGCTGAGGGGGAAATTGCTTTCAGTGGGTTTTGAATCAGACCCTAGGAGAAAAAAGGCCAGCCTGCTGCTGCTGAAAGCGATGACATGGGGAAATCAGAGCTAAGGTGAGGGACAGGGAAAGGGAGACTGAGGTGGTAGGGAAAAGAAAAAAAAAGCTCTGGAAGACCCTTGCTCTGGGGTTCAGCCTGGCATCCTCAAAAACTCAAGTAAAAAGAATTTAACACTGATCTTTCAAAATGATGAGGCCCCTAACACCACGGTCATATTGCTCAGCTTGACTAACATCTTTGGAGATAACATGCAATACAGCAATCTCTATGCTCATTCAATACTTGTCTGTTTGGAGTAATGACTCCCATTTGTGCCACAATATGTGATGATGGTGATATTCCAATAGCCTAGAATTGCACTAGGAACATCTACCAATAATTCATAAAACCTGCATGTATTAAACTAACCTTCAACCCTAATGGCTTTAATAGGGTACACATCAGTACAGTGGCTGTAACTCATATTGGATTGCTCCAGGAAGTATTACAAAATGTTGGTGAAGCCTCTCACTTACTGAAGATGCTCTATTAAATCACCTGTAACTCTACACAAATGCCATTTGAAGTGTAATAAAAAATATTTACCTATTTCAGCTAACTTCTCATAGTCAATCTCAGACATGTTTCCCCTTAGGAACAAGTCAATGTAGATCTTGCTAACCAATTCTTGCAAGATGAAATGGTCCTTGGGTCAACCCTACAAAAATAAACAAAAGTTGCTGTCATCACAGTGTGGCATATTTTACACGCTATACAGATATAAAAAGAAAACAAGCCCCATCCCCCAAATCCAACTGCCGAATTACTGTCAAGGAACCAGCTCATCTGCATTTAGGCACCATTTTCTTACAACATACTATAGAAGCATTTTAAAACAGTGGTCCAAAAAAGAAAAGCTACGTACAAAAACTAGACTTTCAACAAACTGATCTGGTTTTGGGGGGGGGGGGCAGTTCTTTTAAAAAATATTTACATATTACACATTTTAAATGATAAAAATCAGAATTGCAGATTAGTTCACTTCTGGAAACAACATACACCTTCTTAATTCTTTCTTAATTTTATTTCTCTGATGAAGATGTATACTCCATACCCTCACACCAAAGTCACTTATTCTATAGCGGTTTCAAGTTCTACTACAGGAAACGTTTTATACCACACATTTCACATGAAAGAGCTTCATGAAAATTTCAAGTGAGCATTAACATATAAAAACCAGAAAAAAACAGCACTTCCTGCGCGTAATCACTGCTTTTTGTCAAACACTCTGCGGAGTGCTTTGTAAACAGAATACTAAGTAACACACCCAAAGTGAGCATCAGGAGTGAAGAATAAGATTTAGAAGATCTGTGTTCCCCCAGCAGCTGCTCCAAGCAGCAATGAGAGTACTTCCCTTAAATTAAAAACCCAGACGCGGGTGTGGAGGTGAGAAAGAAATTGAGCTTTTCATACTCTCCTTTTAATTTAATTTAAAACCCCTGTTTTATACCAGTTTGGTTTCATCTAAGCATGTTAAATAAAAAGAAAAACAGGCACATTTATGGTTTGGTTGTTGAGAAAAGGCATATACAAGCATGTTCTTCTCCTCTGCCAAGAGGTTAGATATCGTATTGCTACTTCAAAGCACTGAAACTGGGAAATTATTTTGGATCAAAACCAAACAAGACCAGACAGTCTGCCTGTTTGCTGCTGCCCACCCTGCACGTCCCAAAGCTTAAGTAGGTTAACTAGGTTTATTCCAGACCCACAAGTCCAAAAGCTAGATACCATCCCCCCCCTTTTTTTTTTTTTAACCGGAGAAGGGATATGTAAGTAGTTTTCTAGAAATAAAATGCACATCAACAAACCTATTTTGCTGAGGAGGGATGTCATTAGAGTGGCCACAGTTACTACATGTGTGAACTAGAGCCAGGCTCTAACCAGTTAATGCAAAGTCTGTCCTTTGGGTTTTAGCTTTATACAGGCAAAACAAATTTGCATCCTAGTATATGACTACAGCTCCCAGGTACTACAGTAAAACAAGTACCTGCTAACCATCATAATATTTAAAAGAGCTTCTGATGGCTAATGAAGGTTATATAAATTTTCAAAACATTTCACGGATCTGATATTAATGTAATAGTAATTATCACCAAAGGCAACCATGCATTTCCATAACTTGCTGCACTGCAGATAAAATATGAACAAGGTTCTACCACTTTGAAGATTTTCAAACACTTACCAACTATTTTATAACAATCTTATTTGTTTCTTGTGGTAAATAATTATCTCCATTTACAGGAAACAGTCAATTTAGAAGCACATACACAAAAAAAAAGTCCCATTAAGTTCAAAATAGAAAATTATGCAATTTCTCACTAAGCAACAATTTTATTAAAAAAATGAAAGCAATTCTGGGCCAGACATATTTCAGTTCATGTTAATTTTACCACATGGTATTCAAAATGATAATTCCATTGCTGTTTTTAAATTATGATGCAAAAAAATACTTAGTGATTGATATTCCAACCAGTAATTAATTTCTTTATTATTATTCTGAGTGCTACTTTGACATTTCTAAAATTAACAATTAGCAACTAGTGTGATAATGCATGTTTTTTTAGCAACTAATTTGTGGCAGGTATTGTAGATGATTTAGTAATTGACGTAGCTTGCTCATAAGCACTTGGTATATTATCTGATCATGTGTGCCTGTGATGGTCAGGAGTAAGTGGTACATAAGTATCCACTTTGAATAAACAAAATTTAAAAATGTCCTTGAAGCAAAGTATAGTTGTGAAAAAAAGGAAAGCTGACTTTTTCTATCTTATCTGACTAATTCCCTCCCAACTTTTTTTCCTAAATGTTTACATTTTGTAGGAATGTAATGATACTGAGAAGTTTTCAAGGGGCTCCGAATTCAACCTACAGCTCACACTTGTATTCACACCTCTTAGCCTCCGAGTATTTCAAGCAGGCCTTTCTGCTTTCTACTGAAGCTGGAACTTGACCATAATAAGCTCTTTGTGACTTAATTTTCTGTTATGTTTTTCAATTTAGGTTTCATAGACTACCACCTGCATTCAGCCAAACTTTCAGAAGAACAAAGAAAGTCAATATATCTGATCTTCACAGACTTCATCCCCGCCAAATATTTCCCAGAGCTCTTATAAGGAAATGGGGCACTATCTTCCTTCTAAAGTACCTGTTTACACCAGGCCTTTCCATCCTATTGAATTTTAAGCGTAAATCATAAATAAAATCATAAGTCATAAAAACTAGGCTGCATCTTTGACATGAGAATGCATTTCAGATGACGTGAGTAATCAAAGTCTCAATGAATTGATGGAACGGGGGGAAAAAAAAGCCATCTCCTTGAACCTCCACTTGAAAAAAAAAACAAACAAGATTCAATCCTTCTGCTGCATAGCATTGAATAAAAACCAATTTCTCCTTCATACTAATTGCTAACGCTATAGTTAGAAGTAGTGGCTCAATCTAAAGAGGCCAGATTTAAATCTCTCTCAAAACCTGCTGAAAAACATCTGGCTGTTGAACACCAAAGTTACTGCACAAGTGAGAGCAACTATGACTGTTAAAACATTTGCAAGCGTTTAACGTACAAAGTTACTAGGAAGCTAGAAATAATTTAGACAGAATCAAAGAAGAAGGGAAATGGGGAAGAAACCATCTGCCTGGTTTTCAGCTTACTGTTCCCTTGGGGCAGCAATTAGAAAGTTTCCAGTTACAAGACAAATTTACTGTAGCACCCTCGGAAATTGATTTCCCGTTGACTGCAGCATTCTCTGTTCCTAGGAGATAACGTAATCTCCTTAATAGCGTTCCATGCCACGTATCACCGTTTCTAGTAAACTGTCAGATTTAGTGCCTTCCCCCACCTCACCCCACCAAAAAGGCAGTAAAAAAAGCCCCAAACAGAGCCAAACTACAAGCCTTTCATTAATAACAGAAATTTGGAAGTACTTTATAAAATACCACATCCTATATCCTTCCACAGGCAAGGTTATTACTTACTAACATCCCTAAAAGAGCATTACTTTATCAAAAATGAAGGCAGTCACGCACACAGAACTGCTTGATAATGAACTCGCCTCTACGGATAGTCCAAACAAAGGCGAGGGATTCCTCCCAACATTTGTCAAGGCGCAGATGTCTTTGATGCCTATTCTTTTTGTTCACTCAGCTGTCAGATATGTTCTTCTTCAAATTTAAATAGCGTGGTTTCTCTTCTTTTTTTTTCTGATGTTCTTGCCTTCCACTGATATTCTTTGTTACTTTAAAAGGTGTGACACAGCTCACCATGTAACATCGGTCTGCAATTTACATTTTGATAGGATGAGAATTCTGTGTACACCCAGTATTTGCTAAGGGATATCGTCTACAAAACCAGGTAAAGTGGTTTCAGAAGATTATTTTATTATTTATAATACTGCAGTGACTTTGCTATGGAATTTATAAACACAGCAACATATGAGCTGAGTACATAATGTACTCGTGAAAAGTGTATTCAGAGCATCCTGCTTTTCTTCCCATAGTTTATCTGTACTAAACAGTATTTTTCCTCCGTGTATTTCCTACACAATGCCTACCAAAACCAAAGTCGATGTTCTTCATTAGCAGTTTGTTTCAGGTATTTGACATCATTTATTCATTTATTTTCTTATTTCATACTGCAGCCTTTCAAAACTTAAAGAGGGTTTATAAGAAAGATGGCAACAGACTTTTTACTAGGTCCTGTAATGACAGGACAGGGGGTAGTGGTTTTAAACTAAAAGAGGGTAGATTCAGACTAGATATAACAAAAAAATTTTTCACGATGAGGGTGGCGAAACACTGGAAGAGGCTGCCCAGAGAGGTGGTAGATGCCCCATCCCTAGAAGCGTTCAAGGCCAGGCTGGACTGGGCTCTGAGCAACCTGATCTAGTTGAAGATGTCCCTGCTCATTGCAGGGGGGCTTGCACAAGAAGACCTTTAAAAGGTCCCTTCCAACCCAAACTATTCTGAGATTCTATGATATTCTTTATTGACCTACCATCCTTTGCTGGCAATACGTTGGTGAAAATTCAGCTAGGTCATGCATAGGAAGGAGACACCAAGAGGACAAACTGCCAGGGAGAGCATACAGGGCTGTGGTTCTTTGGGCCTCCTTTATTTTAAGGACTGATTTGGGTCTAGTTCAGCTAACGTCAAAAGCCTGCCTTGCTACTCAGAGGGTCTGTCACGACCTAGACTGATTTTTGTGACAGAATAAATAAAATCAAGAGGATTACTGTATTTCCACACATGTACAACACATGGATTGATTAGCTTGTAGAAAGGAAACTCTGGTTCAGCAGCAGAGCAGGTGTACACCCAAGCACGTAATACAAGCAGTACAGTTGATGACAGCGTTCCTTCACTGCTCACCACCTCTTCACCGATCAGCTTTTTCCACCAACAAGCTCCCTGTCCCCAAACTCCCGGCTGCCTCTGCTGCAGCAGTACCAACGACGGCCCAACACTTCTTGTTCTCCCAGCTTCTGCTCCCGATTTTGCGCAAAATGCTGTGGGAGTGGGCAACCTGAGGGTATGGAGTACATACTCATTTTAAATTACCAGTTAACGTTGGAGTTATCGGAGATC